TGGTGAGACCAGACAGCCAGGGCGCTGCCTTGATCTTCTTTCTCTTGTGTGCAGCCTATGCACAAGGAATTTTCTTTCCCTTATGCACAGCTGCACACAGGTGAAAGAAAGTTGAGGCAGCGCCAAATTGCACCAAGCCTTTTTGTGCCTGGAGAGACGCGACTCAATCCAGCCCACAAAGTCCTGGCACTCTTACCATGCACTTACGAGTACCGAGCCGGTAGACGCTGTGAGGCTGTGGACCACCTCATCGCATAGCGGGAGAAATTCCATCAGATAATCATGGAATGCGTCCTCAGGTATGCAGAACCCAGAGTCAAGAATTGTGTGTGATTTATTTGCGCTTGCTCAATAGAATGACCACTTCGGACACGTGGATTAGTGATAAGGTCAAGAAGACCGAAGAGAGAGCGAGCATTGACTTGAGACGACTGAATCACAGCCACAAACCCTCCGTCGAACATTGAGGACGCAAGAAAGTATTCGAATATTGAGTAACACCCATTAGAACTTTCTCCTGAGTGTTGAGTCAACGGGAGACAGAACAGCAAACGCGGACATTCACACGCGACTAAAGAATCCACCAGCGTTTCCGAAGACAAACTGCTCGCTCACCCCGAGGGCGGTCCTTGTCCTCGGAAGAGAGTGAGAAAATTAGGCAAATTATGCCAAATTTACGAGGCATGTCCTGCAGTTGCAGTTGCAGTTAAAATTTCTTCGCTCACAAGCCCAAGAGAATGGGGCTGCGAGGTAGTGGCACCCCTGCTGTCGTCAGTGTGCAGCACTTGCGTCCATACCAAGGTCCCGCAGTCAAAGACGCATTCAGGAGGAGATAACAGCCAGAAGTGAGAGGTCGCAGACGATTAGCACGCCTGCGTATAGTATGGCTGGCCATGAAGCAGCGCGCCCTTCGGCCCCAATCCCGTGCAGCGGAGAAAGTGGCAGCTACTGCAGCTGTGGACCCATTCACCTCCCACATGGAAAGATCGGAACCCATGGAAGCAAGCGTGTATTTTCTCTTCATATGCTCAAGCTTACCACCCAATGAGATGCTGTGGTTTGTTCTCCATGCGCTGGCTAGTTCTTCCTGGCCAATAAACGAATTAGAATGTCAACCGTCAAAATCACTCGAGGAAACCTCCTCCTCGTTACTATTTACTTTTTGCCAGCACTATTTACCCGCCGAAAAAGTCCCCCCAAGCACCATTTTCGTGTGAGGGCATCTTTTGCATACCAGGACTCCGAATCAGAGCCTAATTGATAAAGGATCTGTAAGAAAGACGGCCGCCCTCCAGAACACTCGAACTCGATAACTACCCATGACAGCCCGGATAATGTGGGTGCTGCTGAACAACTAGTGGCTTTCTGATGCTTTTTTTCAAAGCAAAGTCTCTCACCTTTTCTAACATTCTTTGGACTTTTTTCGAAACTACAAACAAATCAGCCGTTTCAGCGTCGGTGAGATCCGTGAGATGGTAGCAAACACGCTTTGGGGCTAACCAAGACATCTGCAAGAAAATCGTCGGCACGATCGTTATGTGTAGAACGACAATTTTCTGAAATTAGGCCTGAACAAACTGCACAACTGACGTCCATCAAGCACGGGTTTCAAGTTGACGAATGCAAAAGAAAGGGCTGATCGGTAGAATATCGTTTCGGCAGCTATCGGGAACTCGGCAAACATCAATCGGAGAATCGTCTGAAGTAGAACTTTCAATACGATATCAGTTTGGAACACACCTGAGTCACTTCTAGACCGCAAAGCAGGGAAATACCTTTTTTGCTGCGAATGTGGCGCGTTTCAGGGGGGGGGGTACGGATTGGAACTGGCGCAGTGTCAGTCTGTTCTCCACCAGCTGTGGTCGTCTGTTAGCTTCCACATTTCCTAGTGGGCCGCGCCAGACCCACTCCTCCTGAAATGCCTCAGCGTCCGCAGCGAATGACGCTGTAGTTCTCATTTTACAGGAAGGCAATAAAAAAACACTTCTATCCATCGACTTTCGAGGCGATATAAGTTACACTTTACTTATTTTGATTGGACATTTCCACCATCATATTCAACAGCACATTGTACACTATCACGAACCTCTGCCATTCCACCATCATATTCAACAGCACGTCGTACACTATCACGAACCTCCGCCACAGCCTTCTGGACGAACGCCATCGAGAGATTCTGCACCGTGATTCGGTGCCTGAGTTCAGCGAGGTCGTTGATTTCTCCGCCACTGTAGACCACCCTGTTGAGCTCCGCCCGAACCCGGTAATCGAGGGGTTTGTCAGGTGACACACTTGGATATTCCGTCTTCTTCAGGTACTCAACGCCCTTCGATTCCAAGTAGGCGAGAGTTTTTGATTCCATGTGCTGGCACCCAATCCTGTAGCAGTACGAAGTTTCCAAGATGGTACAGGCGATGACATGAAGGCAGGATATTCTCCTCGAGCTGGTCGATGTAACCGTCAGCGTTCACTTTCAGTCCGGGGTCCACGAAGAAAATATCGGTCTTTCCATTCCAGGTCCGGTCCATACCATCAACCCGCGCCTTGGCGACTGTGGTGAAGATGATGTCCTAGACCGTGGCGACGTTGTCGGAGCTGCTCGATGTTGGAGGTCATCCAGATCGAGAGTACTGGTCTCCAGGTAGCTATCCATGGGTGACTCCATACTAGAAGCTGTTTGGAGGTGACATGAATTCCAAAGGTCTTCTCCAGTCAGGCTGCGACTGGAGATGACTTCATATTTTGGTGTACATGAAGGTGATGGGCGAGAGCCAGCTCCTGCTTATCGAGGAACATCTTGGGTATCTTCCGCCCTGGTACTCGTATCCACGTCCTCTGTCTGGGCTGCGAAAACTTTGCTGATATGTGACTCGGTCGAAGTGTCTTTTTTTGCCCTCCGCCCCTGTATGTAAACCAAGAGTATGGTTTCCATGTGTGTCTGTCTTATTAATTGTTTGTCAAGTTGTCCGTCTATTCGTCACACGCTGTGCTTTTTATGAACTTTAGAACCGAGTTGATCAGGGATGAAGAACCATGCTGTACGAAGCGTAAGTGAACTGAGCAGAGCTTGGTGGAGTGTGCGATGAAACGAGCAGTGCTAGTTTCGGAAAGTACGTATTCGGATTCGTTTTGAATATCCTAACTACGTAGAAACGAAGTAAAAGGGTACAATCACAACGGAACTCTCAGAAAGGCCTGTGCTTCCAGCCAGTCAAAAACTTTCATGCTGGCCAGCAGGGAAGATCTTATGCATCTGAGCTTCCCAAGGAGAACTTTGCAACCATGAAACGAGAACTGTACAGCGTCTTTGGGTAGATCGAGTTCCATTTATATCTTGATAGTACCCTTTCCTGGACAGCCGTGTGACGCATGCGGAATATGATAAAATAAAATAGTCTATAGGCAGTTCAATCTACCACAAATTCCCGTAACACCAAATTAAGTAGACCATGAACAAAGAAAATTTTCGAAGGAGGACGACCCCAACCCTTAACCACGTAGTTAAACGCGCCTCACTCCAGCCTAGCAAATCCTACAACCATAACTGATCTCGACTCAAGTAGGAAATGCAGAATTTATGCCTGCGCGCGCGTTCAGTACAAGAAGTGAACCGGCTTATAAATAGACCAAAGGTAGTTCGGGAGTCCGGAGACCACAGTCACTACGCCACATAAGTTTTGTTTGCCTTCATTTGCCCTGCCAAATTCTTTCCAGTCTTATTACTGCAGTATACGTTACTTCCCCGCTCGGTGAGAGGAAGCAGACAAGCACGTAGCATAACTGCGTCCCCGCCTTTGCTCCTCATGAATGGTAGCTTGTCCACGAAAAATCTTCTACTGAAGCTCTAAACAACTTACTCGTTGCTATTTATCTCAGCAAGGAAATGACAGCAAGTAAAAAATAAAGATCTGGGTATTGTTCGGTCCATTTCGGGATGTGGCACGCATTTGAATCCCAATGGGAGCTGTGCTGGATATGAAGGACCAATGGGCCACTGCAAATCTGCGCTCTTATTCATCAGTGCAAATTTCGGTCCAATCCGTCAGCGCAATCAATTTCCGGACACTGAGATAGCCTGGAGAATCGGCCTTCAGTCCTAAAGATCTTTACGGCTTACTGCACATGTTTATTACACCATAATCTTGAAGACAGTCATCCCACTCGAGTAATTCGTAGACGTCCTCCATTGTACGAGTGTTTGGGTCTCCATTCTCTGACCCTTTTTCGCGGCCTCATAATTAGAAGGCGCTATGGCCCTCACAAGCGGCAGTTATGACGCCTCGCTGGTTTTACCGCCCACCAAAACTCGTAGGCTAATTTCTGTCAAGAGTGCAGTGTTTGCACAGTGTTTCCCGTTTTCCGTCATTTTTCGGTGTTAGATGGTATTAGCACTGGATGACGCAAAGAAACAGTCGGAGAGCCAACGGCGGCTCATAAAGCGATCACGTCTGGAAAACTCTATACTGAGACTGCCAGGAGGTCCTCAAGGTGTTCTCCATTTTTTTCGTTTTTCTCCTCGTCGAGAGTCATTTGGCGACTATTTGGTATGTAAGCAAACGCCACTGTCTGCATACACAATTGTGGGGGTTTTCTTTAACTAATGAAAGATTCCAGAGGAAAGAGTACTCAATCCTCACCGCTGTCCTCCTCATTCACATGCAGTGAGTATAGATCGGATCGTCGATGAGCAAAAACTGGTTGCATCTTCCGGAGTTCGTCGACATAGGATAGATCGATTTCAGCGAAACACATATCTCAAAAAATCAATCGTTCTGAAAACTTAAGGGATCGTGCACTCCCACTGACCGATTCTTTCTGAGCACTGCGCTATCACAGCTCCCCACGGATCAATCACCATCGAATGACCGTAGGATGACCGCTTCTCGTTGTGTTTTCCGGTCTGAGCAGCTGCCACCACGTAGCATTGCGTCTCGATTGCTCGACTTCGGAGTAGGGGCTGTAAAGAGCGAAAAAAGAGCCCTTGGCTGGACCGTGGCCATGAGAAAGCGCCAGCGAAATCTACGCCTCCTGAGATCGTCATGTTCTTACCCTGAGAACAGGGTTGGAGACAAGCTATACACTCGCCTGTGAAGACGGTCCTTTCCATGTGTTAGGGGATTGGATCCGCACCTACAGCAGCGTGCCACTCACTCCGTTCGAAGTGCAGGGAGCTGGACTGGGGGATAGCGGTACCCGGGTGCCGTCTTCATCCGCTCGCGTTATCCTCAAGGTGCAGTGCTTGCGTCTATACCAAGATCCCACACCACACAAGTTCTCAGCACTGGAGAATAACCAGAAGTGAGAGGGTGCAGACAAGTAGCGCGTTCGAATATGGTTGGGTGGCTGGCCGTGCTGCGGCGCGGGCGAATATGGAGACGGCACCTGGGTATATTTACCCTCCAGCCCCATTACTCTGTACTTTTGACCGGCGAAAGTGGTACCAGTTGCTGTCCCAATCATCTGCACCTGGCAAGGATCACGATCCAGGGAAGTGAGTGTACAGTTTTCCTTTTGAGCTCGGCTCTCCAGAGAAGCTACTCCTTCTGGGACGAGCACACTGATCAGAAAACACAATAGTTCGAGCTCATACTATGAGCTCGAAATAGGCCTTCAGAGGGAAAAAATAAGCTCTTACCTCCCAATGTGCCAAACCGGTATTGAGCGTGAAAGAAGATGGATAGGAAAGAATCTCTGCACCCTTGTAACGATTATAGAGAGCTAGTTCAGGAAATCGAAGATCATAGCAAATGGACAGGCCAAGTCGTCCAACTGGAGTATCTACGGGTGGGACCATCTGAAAACAAGTTCCTTTTGAACTACCTAGAAACAAACTTGCACTCAACAAACGTGAATAGTAAAACGTGGAGAAATATTAATTTCACCCCGAATAATCAATATGAACATACCCTGTCACCTCCTTTGCTGAATTCACTTTCCATAAGTCTCACTTTTCCTGGGATTT